GTTCTGTCACAAGTACAACAGAAATGACGATGACCTCGACACCAGCCACGGAGGGCACCACACCACCACCGTCTACCGGAACAGCCACCACAAGCACAACAACTTCGCCAAGTAGTAAAACAATGACAACAAGTGCAACAACGCCTCCAACAAGTACAGCAACAGTTACTTCTGGAACGACGGCAATAACTGGCACGACTTCTACAAATCCTGAATCAACGACAGCTGGAGCGTCAGTGAGTTATACTGCAAGTACAGTCCCAGAAACGACAATGGGACAAACAACACCATCTAATACCCCACCTTCGCCTACTAATACAGCAGGAATAACAACTAGCCCGGATGAAATTTCCACGTCAAACACACCCACCGGAACGACGACGAGTCCTATCATACCACCAGAGAGCACCACATCGTCACCTTCTCGCAGCACCACACAAGCATCAACAACAACCGTGGTGCCGACAGGTATAACTACAGCGACAACTGTAACGACAGAAGGTGCCACAGCAACTACAACACCAGCTACGGCAGGAGCTACCCCAGAGACACCGTCTGTGTCTGTCACATCGACGACGGCTAGCACCACCAATCCAGCTCTAACTACGGCAAGAGCAACCACTGCTGATATGACAGAAAGTTCTCTCACAAGTACAATAGAAATCACGACGACCTCGACACCAACCACGGAGGCCACCACACCACCACCGTCTGCCGGAACTTCGCAAACTAGCACGACAATGACAACAAGTGCAACAACGCCTCAATCAAGTACAGTAACAGTTACTTCTGGCATGCCGGAAATAACAGGCAAGGCTTCTACAAGTACTGAAACAACGATAGCTGGAGCGTCAGTGAGTTATACTGCAAGTACTGCCCCAGCAACGACAATGCGAACAACAACATCGTCCAACACTCAACCTTCGCCTACTAATACAGCTGGAATAACGAAAACTACCCCGACTGAAATTTCCACGTCAAGCACACCCACCGGAACGACGATGAGTCCTATCATACCACCAGAGAGCACTACATCGTCACCTTCTCCCAGCACCACACAAGCACCAACAACCATGGTGCCAACAGGGATAACTACAGCGACAACTGAAACGACAGAAGTGTCTTCAGCAGCTTCAACACAAGCTACGGAAGAAGCTACCCCAGGGACACCGCCTCTGTCTGTCACATCGACGACGGCTGGCACAACCAATACAGCTCTAACTACCGCAGGAGCAACCACCGCTGGTATGACAGAAAGTTCTGTCACAAGAACAACAAAAGAAATGACGATGACCTCCACACCAACGACAGAGGGCACCACATCACCACCGTCTGCCGGAACAGCCACGACAAGGAAAACAACTTCGTCAAATAATACGACAATGACAAGTGCAACAACGCCTCCAACAACTACAGCAACAGTTACTTCTGGCACGACAGCAATAACTGGCCCGGCTTCTACAAGTATTGAATCAACAACAGCTGAAGCGTCAGTGAGTTATACGGCGAATACAGCCCAAGCAACGACAATGGGACCAACAACCACATCTAACACCCCACCTTCGCTTACTAATCCTGCAGGAATTACGACAGCTAGCCCGACTGAAATTTCCACGTCAAGCACACCCACAGGAACGACGATGGGTCCTATCATACCACCAGAGAGCACTACATCGTCACCATCTCGTAGCACCACACAAGCAACAACAACCATTGTGCCAACAGGTATAACTACAACGACAACTGAAACGACAGAAGTTCCTCCAGCAGCTTCAACAATAGCTACGGCAGAAGCTACCCCAGGTACACCGCCTGTGTCTGTCACATCGACGACGGCTGGCACAACCAATACAGCTCTAACTTCCGCAGGAGCAACCACCGCTGGTAGAACACAAAGTTCTGTCATAAGTACAACAATAGAAATGACGATCACTTCGACACCAACCACAGACGGCACAACACCATCGTCTGCCGGAACAGCAACGACAAGCGCAACAACGTCGCCAACTGGTGCGACCATGACAATAAGCGCAACAACGCCTGCAGCAAGTACCACAAATGCCATATCTGGCACGACGGAAAGAACAACAACAGCATTCACAAGTACTGAACCAACGACAGCTGAAACGATGGGAAGTTCTCGGGCAAGTACAGCTCCAGAAACGACAGTGGGACCGACAACACCATCTAACACCCCACCTTCGCCTACTAAGACAGCAGGAATAACAACTAGCCCGTCTGAGATTTCCACGTCAAGCACACCCACCGGAACAACGAGTCCTATCATACCACCAGAGAGCACTACATCGTCACCTTCTCGCAGCACCACACAGGCAACAACAGCAAACGTGTTTCCGACAGGTATAACTACAGCGAGAACTGAAACGACAGAAGGTGCTACAGCAACTACAATAACAGCTAAGGCAGGAACTACCCCAGAGACACCGTCTGTGTCTGTGATATCGACGACGGCTGGCACAACCAATACAGTTCTAACTGCGGCAGGAGCAACAACCGCAGATATGACAGAAAGTTCTGTCACAAGTACAATAGAAAAGACGATGACCTCGACAACATCCACGGAGGGCACCACACCACCACCGTCTGCCGGAACAGCTACGACCAGCACAACAACTTCGCCATCTAGTGCGACAATGACAACAAGTGCAACAACGCCTCCAACAAGTAAAGCAACAGTTACTTCTGGCACGACGGCAATAACTGGCCCGGCTTCTACAAATACTGAATCAACGACAGCTGGAGCGTCAGTGAGTTACATCGCAAGTGCAGCCCAAGCAACGACCATGGGACCAACAACACCATCCAACACCCAACCTTCGCATACTAATTCACCTGGAATAACGACAACTAGCCCGGCTGAAATTTCCACGTCAAGCACATCTATCGGAACGACGACGAGTCCTATCATACCACCAGACAGTACTACATCGTCACCATCTCGTAGCACCACACAAGCAACAACACGAACCGTTGTGCCGACAGGTATAACTACAGCGACAACTGTAACGACAGAAGGAGCCACAGCAACTACAACACCAGCTACGGCACGAGCTACCCCAGAGACACCGCCTGTGTCTGTCACATCGACGACAACCGGCACCACCAATACAGCTCTAGCTACGGCAGGAGTAACCACCGCTGATATGACAGATAGTTCTCTCACAAGTACCATAGAAATGACGATGACCTCGACACCAACCAAGGAGGCCACCACACCACCACCGTCTGCCGGAACTTCGCAAACTAGCACGACAATGACAACAAGTGCAACAACGCCTCAATCAAGTACAGTAACAATTACTTCTGGCATGCCGGATATAACAGGCCCGGCTTCTACAAGTACTGAAACAACGATAGCTGGAGCGTCAGTGAGTTATACTGCAAGTTCTGCCCCAGCAACGACAATGCGACCAACAACACCGTCCAACACTCAATCTTTGCCTACTAATACAGCTGGAAAAACGACAACTACCCCGACTGAAATTTCCACCTCAAGCACACCCACCGGAACGACGATGAGTCCTATCATACCACCAGAGAGCACTACATCGTCACCTTCTCCCAGCACCATACAAGGAAGAACAACCATGGTGCCAACAGGTATAACTACAGCGACAACTGAAACAACAGAAGTTTCTCCAGGAGCTTCAACAATAGCTACGGAAGAAGCTACCCCAGGGACACCGCCTGTGTCTGTCACATCGACGACAGCTGGCACAACCAATACAGCTCTAACTACCGCAGGAGTAACCACCGCTGGTGTGACAGAAAGTTCTGTCACAAGTACAACAATAGAAATGACGATGACCTCCACACCAACGACAGAGGGCACCACATCACCACCGTCGTCCGGAACAGCCACGACAAGCACAACAACTTCGCCAAATATTACGACAAGGACAACAAGTGCAACAACACCTCCAACAAGTACAGCAACAGTTACTTCTGGCACGACGGCAATAACTGGCCCGGCTTCTACAAGTACTGAATCCACAACAGCTGGACCGTCGGTGAGTTATACGGCAAGTACAGCCCAAGCAACGACAATGGGACCAACAACATCTAACACCCCACCTTCGCCTACTAATACAGCAGGAACAACGACAGCTAGCGCGACTGAAATTTCCACGTCGAGCACATCCACCGCGACGACAATGGGTCCTACCATATCAGCAGAGAGCACTACATCGTCACCTTCTCGTAGCACCACACAAGCAACAACAAGAACCGTGGTGCCGACAGGTATCACTACAGCGACAAGTGAAACGACAGAAGGTGCTACAGCAACTACAACAACAGATACGGCAGGAAGTACACCAGGGACACCGTTTGTGTCTGTCACATCAATGAGTGCTGGAACTACCAACACGGACGTAACTACGCCAGGAGCAACCACCGCCGGCATGACAGAAATTTCTGTCACAAGTACAACAACAGAAATGACGATGACCTCGACACCATCCACGGAGGGCACCACATCACCACCGTCTGCCGGAACAGCCACGACAAGCACAACAACTTTGCCATCTAGTACAACAAAGACAACAAGTGCAACAACGCCTCCAACAAGTACAGCAACAGTTACTTCTGGCACGACGGCAATAACTGGCCCGGCATCCACAAATACTGAATCAACGACAGCTGGAGCGTCAGTGAGTTACACGGCAAGTACAGCCCAGTCAACGACAATGGGACCAACAACACCATCCAACACCCCACCTTCGCCTACTAATGCAGCAGGAATAACGACAGCTAGCCCGACTGATACTTCCACGTCAAGCACACCCACCGGAACGACGATGAGTCCTATCATACCACCAGAGAGCACTACATCGTCACCATCTCGTAGCACCACACAAGCAACAACAACCATTGTGCCAACAGGTATAACTACAGCGACAACTGAAACGACAGAAGTTTCTCCAGCAGTTTCAACAATAGCTACGGCAGAAACTACTCCAAGTACACCGTCTGTGTCTGTTACATCGACGACGGCTGGCACAACCAATCCAGCTCTAACTACCGCAGGAGCAGCCACCGCTGGTATGACACAAAGTTCTGTCATAAGTACAACAATAGAAATGACGATGACTTCGACACCAACCACAGAGGGCACAACACCACCGTCTGCCGGAACAGCAACGACAAGCGCAACAACGTCGCCAACTAGTGCGACCATGACGACAAGCGCAACAACGCCTGCAGCAAGTACCACAACAGCCATATCTGGCACGACGGCAATAACTGGCCCGGCTTCTACAAGTACTGAATCAACGACAGCTGGAGCGTCAATGAGTTTTACTGCAAGTACAGTACCAGGAACGACAATAGGACCAACAACACCATCCAACACCCAACCTTCGCCTAGTAATACAGCTGGGATAACGACAACTAGCCCGACTGAAATTTCCACGTCAAGCACACCCATCGGAACGACGAGTCCTCATTTATCACCAGAGAGCACTACATCGTCACCTTCTGGGAGCACCACACAAGCAACAACAAGAACCGTTGTGCCGACAGGTATAACTACAGCGACAACTGTAACGACGGAAGGTGCCACAGCAACTACAACACCAGCTACGGCAGGAGCTACCCCAGAGACACCGTCTGTGTCTGTGACATCGACGACGGCTGGCACAACCAATAAAGCCCTAACTACGGCAGGAGCAACCACCGCTGATATGACAGAAAGTTTTGTCTCAAGTACAACAATAGAAATGACGATGACCTCGACACCAACGACAGAGGGCACCACATCACCACCGTCGTCCGGAACAGCCACGACAAGCACAACAACTTCGCCAAATATTACGACAATAACAACAAGTGCAACAACGCCTCCAGCAAGTACAGCAACAGTTACTTCTGGCACGACCGCAATAACTCGCCCGGCTTCTACAGGTACTGAATCAACAACAGCTGGACCGTCAGTGAGTTATACGGCAAGTACAGCCCAAGCAACGACAATGAGACCAACAACATCTAACACCCCACCTTTCGCCTACTAATACAGCAGGAACAACGACAGCTAGCGCGACTGAAATTTCCACGTCGAGCACATCCACCGCGACGACAATGGGTCCTACCATATCAGCAGAGAGCACTACATCGTCACCTTCTCGTAGCACCACACAAGCAACAACAAGAACCGTGGTGCCGACAGGTATCACTACAGCGACAAGTGAAACGACAGAAGGTGTTACAGCAACTACAACAACAGATACGGCAGGAAGTACGCCAGGGACACCGTTTGTGTCTGTCACATCAATGAGTGCTGGAACTACCAATACGGACGTAACTACGCCAGGAGCAACCACCGCTGGTATGACAGAAATTTCTGTCACAAGTACAACAACAGAAATGACGATGACCTCGACACCAACGACGGAGGGCACCACACCACCACCGTTTTCCGGGCCAGCCACGACAAGCACAACAACTTTGCCATCTAGTACAACAAAGACAACAAATGCAACAACGCCTCCAACAAGTACAGCAACAGTTACTTCTGGCACGACGGCAATAACTGGCCCGGCTTCTACAAATACTGAATCAACGACAGCTGGAGCGTCAGTGAGTTACACGGCAAGTACAGCCCAGCCAACGACAATGGGACCAACAACACCATCCAACACCCCACCTTCGCCTACTAATACAGCAGGAATAACGAGAGCTAGCCCGACTGATATTTCCACGTCAACCACACCCACCGGAACGACGGTGATTCCTATCATACCACCAGAGAGCAATATATCGTCACCTTCTCGTAGCACGACACAAGCAACAACAACCATTGTGCCAACAGGTGTAACTACAGCGACGGCTCAAACGACAGAAGTTTCTCCGGCAGCTTCAACAATAGCTACGTCAGAAGCTACCCCAGGTACACCATCTGTGGCTGTCACATCGACGACGGCTGGCACAACCAATCGAGTTCTAACTACCGCAGGAGGAACCACCGCTGGTATGACACAAAGTTCTGCCATAAGTACAACAATAGAAATGACGACGACTTCGACACCAACCACAGAGGGCACAACACCACCGTCTGCCGGAACAGCAACGACAAGCGCAACAACGTCGCCAACTAGCGTGACCATGACAACAAGCGCAACAACGCCTGCAGCAAGTACCACAACAGCCATGTCTGGCACGACGGCAATAACTGGCCCAGCTTCTACAAGTACTGAATCAACGACAGCTGGAGTGTCAGTCAGTTATACAGCAAGTGCAGCCTCAGCAACGACAATGGGACCAACAACGCCATCCGACACCCAACCTTCGTCTAATAATTCACCTGGAATAACGACAAATAGCCAGACCGAAATTTCCACGTCAAACACACCCGCAGGAATGACGATGAGTTCTATCATACCACCAGAGAGCACTACCTCGTCATCTTCTCGCGGCACCACACAAGCAACAACAACAACCGTGGTGCCGACAGGTATAACTACAGCGACAAATGAAACGACAGAAGGTTATACAGCAACTACAACAACAGCTACGGCCGGAAGTACCCCAGAGACACCGGTTGTTTCTGTCACATCAATGACTGCTGGAACTACCAATACGGACGTAGGTACGCCTGGAGCAACCACCGCTGGTATGACAGAAATTTCTGTCACAAGTACAACAATAGAAATGACGATGACTTCGACACCAACCACAGAGGGCATTACAACACCACCGTCTGCGGGAACAGCAACGGCAAGAACAACAACGTCGCCAACTAGTGCGACAGTGACAAGTGCAACAACGCCTGCAGCAAATACCACAACAGCCACATCTGGCACGACGGAAAGAACAGCGACAGCATTCACAAGTACTGAATCAACGACTTCTGCAACGATGGGAAGTTCTCCTGCAAGTTTAGCTCCAGGGATGACAAGTGGACCAACAAGACCATCTAGCACACCACCTTCGCCTACGAATACAGCAGGAATAACGACAACTAGCCGGACTGAAATTTCCACGTCAGGTACACCCACCGGAACGACGATGAGTGCTATCATACCACCAGAGAGCACTACGTCGTCATCTTATGGGAGCACCACACAAGCAACAACAACAACCGTGGTGGCGACAGGTATAAATATAGCGACAGCTGAAACGACAGAAGGTGCTACAGCAACTACAACAACGACTACGGCAGGAAGGACGCCAGGGACACCGTTTGTGTCTGTCACATCAATGACTGCTGGAACTACCAATACGGACGTAGCTCAGCCAGGAGCAACCACCACTGGTATGACAGAAATTTCTGTCACAAGTACAACAATAGAAATGACGACGATTTCGACACCAACCACAGAGAGCACAACACCACCGTCTGCTGCAACAGCAACGACAAGCGGAACCACCTCCCCAACTAGTACTACCCTGACATCGCGTGCAACAACGCCTCCAACAAGTACAACATCTAATTCTGTCACGACGGCAAGAGCATCCACAGCAGCTACAACACTTACTGAAACTATGCCAACGGTTGGAATTACGGCTGTAGCAGCTTTGTCAAGCACACTAGATACGTCAGTAGGGGGTGTCGGTGCGTTTGCCAATAGCAGTCAAAGTACTATAAATGGAACTGGTGTTGTTAACATAAATGTTGGTGGCAATCCAGGCGGTTGCAATGTGAACGTCGTGTGCAAGCAACAAGGACCGCTTTGTCGGTTAATGTCTTTTGTAAGGTGTGTTACAAAGCGTTTAGGATGGCTTGGCTTTAGGCGTACGTTTGAAATCTTTGAAAGGATTTTGCAGTGATGGCTATTTCAGCACTCTCGTACTGAATGCTGACTCCGAATATTACAGCGTTTACTGATTAGGGACGTTAAATATGAACCATTTCATATGCTTACGGGGGTCGTGGATTTGCAATGCTATGTCAACATACAATGCGTTGTCAATTCGCTAAAACTCAGCGCCTCAAGAGTTTTCTTGCTGATATCAATGAAGTAACATTTTTGCACAAGCATATGCATGAACCCTGCATGTGGCGTGCTCAGATATATTGGTGTCGTTTTTTGAGGTGTAATAGCATACTGTACGTTGTGGTAAGATAATAAATGAGTGGTTGATTTCCATCACGTTGATAGTTAGCAGGTAATGTTCGTGGCTGATTCTTATTCCGCGCTTGTCAACTATAGAAATAGCTACGTCTTTGTGGTGGCATATGGGAAGAAGAACTAGAATATCGCGCTGAGCATCTTTTGGTAGTTAAACAAAAAAACAAACTTCAATCGATTTACGCTTACTACTTGTGACACTCATCCAGAACGTTTTGTAAATGTAACGCTATGGGATTTCCGAGGAAAACATGTAAAAACGTAGGACACGGCATGTAATTTTCCTCAGGTTTCTCACACACCCTTGACACATATCTCACCGCCTGACCTGCCTGAATTAAGCTATAAATGAAACTCTTAGACCGATAGGACATGTTCAAACGATCTTTAAATGTTTCTACAGAAGGGGACTTCCTGCAACTTTGTTTACCAGTCCATTCCAATGATCCAGTATTTTCTGACTAGATGGCATCTGCCTCTTTAAAGTTCTACTCCAACCTTTTGTTAATTGAGGCTGGTTTTCTCTAGGTCTCGGCCTAAGTTCCAGTGCTCCTTGTAGATCTACCTTTTCTATCCCTTTCATAACCTTGAACCTCTATCAGATTTCCTCTAAATATACGATGCTTCAGTGAATACAAATCCAAGGGCTTAAGGCTAACCTTATATTTTAAGTTGCCAATCTCATTTATTATCTTAGTTATTTTTCGCTGTGCTCTCCCCAGCCCATCTGTATCTTTTTGAAATCATGGGAACGAAGCCTGCACACAATAATCTAGGTGTGATCTGACATAAGCTAAGGACAACTTTTTACCAGCATTCATGCCCTTGTAATGAACATTCCCTTTGACGGGTTCCAGCATCCGAAGTGCCGTGTTTCTAGCATCCCGCACTGTTTTCTAGCCTTTTAATCCCTGAAAATTACAACGCCCAAGACCATTTCTTCCTCTCGCTGGTCCAGCTACCGACCTTTCATTTTCAAGCTTATGTCCTCACTGCCAGAACTCCCCAAATGCATTATTATGCACCGATCTTAACTACATGGCGTCTGCCACAAAGAAACCCAGTTCACTAGTTTCTCCAAATCAAGTTTCACCTCGTCAATTTTCGACACCCCTATCCTTTATGTATCGTCAGCAAATTTAAGCACGGTTCTTCCTAATCCTATCTTAACATTATTCACAAAACTGATAAGGAGTAAAGGGCCCAGCACCGACACATGTGGAACTCCACTCTCTTCTAGCTACCACTAAGATTTAGTACCATTGAGCACTACTCTGTTTCCTGTCTGACAGCCATGCTCCTACCGAAGCAATAATGTTTTTCTCAATGCCACGCAGCTTAAAGGGATATAATAGGCGCTGGTGTGGCACCTCATCAAGCGCCTTACGAGAATACATATGAATGAAACGGTTGACCATCTAAACTCTTGTCTTAATCTATCTGACTAGCAACATGCTTCATGAACTCCAGAAGATTTGTCAAACAGGAATCACAAGAAAGAAACTGTGCTGACTGCTATTTATCAACTGACACCTATTTAAGGGTAGCTGATTGTAGCCTCGATGAATTTCTCTAAGATCTTACATACTAGTGAGATAAGCTGACAGGTCTGTAGTTGCTGACACTTTCTTTCGCCCTGTTCTGAAATATCGGTACTACATTGGCATTGCGCCAATCCACGGGTACTTCTGCGAAACTTTATGACCTGAATATGAACATAAGAGGATAAGCTGAAGCACTGCGCATTTATTCCGCACTCTACCATATATCTGGTCAGGTCCCGCTGTCTTATCAACCTTGACTTCCATCAAGCTATCTCTCACCGCACCCTCGGTCACCGTCAAATCTACAAGACTGCCTTTAGCCAGATTTCCCCTATTAGCGCGGAGATCACAAGCAGTCTCCTCTTAAAACTGAAAAACTGCCTACTACAAGCATCCAAAATATCCCTGTGTTACTTCGAGAAGGCCAGCAGAGGATCCCTATATTTTAAATGGCATTGGCCCCCACAAAATATTAACATTGCCAGATGAAGTGTCTACTAGCCGTATTTCTGACAATCTTTTCGCTCCCTAACCTCCCTGTTTAGCTTTTTTGTAACAATCTTATACATTGCCACGTTGCTTTTCGTGTCTTGCACTTTTTGCCTATCACATACCTCCGTCTTGCCTACCATCAAATTGCGTATAGTCTGTGCCAGCCATGGGGGTTTCCAGAGCTCTTTTCTCGTATGTTCCTAAAGGGAATGAACCATCTTTCCATTATTTCTAAAATTTCCTTTAACACTTCCCACATCTGGTGTGTAGAGACTCCAGTTGGAATATGTTCCCACTGGAAGCTAGTAAGAAAGGCTGTAAGTTCTTCAAGTTTACCCGTAGCAAAGTTTTGAATAAGCAGTATGACAAGCATTACCTAACTAAGAAAACCGCACGCAGAGCAAGCAAAAATATGATTGTGGTCATCTGACAAGTGGCCAAAATCTACGCTCCAGCCTGGTATGTTAAAATCTCCCAGCACCCCATATTGTCTATACACAGCTCGGCTGATACCTTCACATGCATATGTGTCAACATTCTGACAATTATTTGGAGGCCTATAGAAAATTCCATGATGCAATTTCTTGCCATTTGGCATAATAAATTCGATTCAAAGGGTTCTACACTACCGCCGCTTGTCTTCATAACGTTAAAGTTGCACATTTTATATTCTCGCTTGCGTATACTGGTATTCCTTCTCCTTTTTCGCTTTGTATCAAAAGTAAATATATTGCAACCAGATGCTTCAAATTCCTGTACACCGTCTCAAAAAAGGCGTACACTGATCCAAGGTTCAGTGATGGCTTCTAGGCCTATTTTTTTCTTACAGCACGCGAGAATGGAGCTCACCAAACTTGTTTCTAATGCTTTTGGCATTTGCTGAGAAGCATTTATGTTTTTCTACACTTCTTTGGCACACTATTCAGCAATTCTTAACCATTATCCCCTTCTCTCTATCTTCTCTATCTTCTGCGCTCTATGTTCATCCGC